AATCCACTCACCTCAGCCTCCCAAGGCATGGGATTACAGGCTGAGCCACCGAGCCCAGCAGTTCCAACTACTTGGAAGGCTGAGGCAGAAGGATCGCCTGAGCCAAGCAAGTCGAGGCTCCAATGGCTGTGAGTGTGAGTCTGCTCCAGACTCCCACTCAAAAAACCAAGAAAACAAAAAAGAAAGCACCAGGGGCCGGCGTGGTGACTGGAGCAGAAAATGCGGAGTCTCCCCCTCCACCTGTGGTCTCCCCCATTAATTAATTAAGAGATTAATCTCTTAGGCTAGCGTGGCGCATCTGCTGCGAGGAGCAACCCGGGGGTGAGTTGTAGTAACTGAAGTCCGTGGTTGGCGTCAAGGGTTCACACTCTGCACTGCACAGTCCATGGGTGTGGATACATGTGATGACCTGCGTCCACCGTGATGGAGTAGTTTCACTGTCCTGGAAACCCTGTGCTCCATCCTTCCCACCCTCACCAGTCCAACAGCCCTGGGTATCCCTGTCTCCTCGGTTTAGCTTTTTCCAGGAGTCGGGGTCACATGGGATGCAGTCTTTCCCAATGGACTTTCCTTACTGGGTGACAGCACTCATGGCTCCTCCAAGTCTTTATGACTGGGTGGCCCTCTGTTGTCTGGAGGGACCCCAGTTGATGGTACTTGTCACCTGCCAAGGGCCGTCGTGGTTGGTTCCAGATGTGGTGGCCGTGAGTGCAGGTTCTGTGTGGACATGTGGTTTCCACTCCGAGTCGTGACTGCCGGTTCATGTTGTCGGAGGGTGCGGAGCTTGGAAATGGCCGTCGGTCTTCCACGCATCTGTCCCTGTCTTGCGTTCCCACCAGGCCGAGCAAGGGCTCATGTTGCCCTGGTCCCCGGGCATCTAGTGTTGGCGGATTTCGGTGTTGGTGTCCCCCTGGATCCTGAAGCCTTGGGGTGGCATTAGTGTAGGAGTGTTTCATCGCTTCTGGATCCCTTGGGTTTGCTGCTTGACAGGCTCTTCATCTGTGGACAGAGATGATTCTGCACCCTTGATCTCCCTTCTTGTCTGATGCACGAGCTTGGAGTTGAGGAACACTGAGTGGGGCTGAGGGGTGCCCGCCCATCTGTTCCTGCCGTGCTGATGTGGTTGTTTCTGTACTGCTTTGAGTGGTGCTGGTGTCCTCTGTGCTCTTCTGTGTCTGCAGATAGGATCTGCGGCTGTGACGGGACGAGGACTCACCCCACTTGACCGTGTTGTTGGCGTCTCTTGGCTGCATCCTACTGGGGCGCTTGTCCCTGTGGGATGGTGCTGTCACTTCTCGTGCTTCGTTGGTGTGGCCGGCTGGTTCCGGTCTTTGGGTGGAAGCGTCCTCCTGCCTCTGCCCGCCTCTCTCAGGTCGGACCTTGTGCATTCAGGCCGTGGCCCAGCCCGCCTTTCCTCTGTCTTGGTGAAGGCCTCGTCCAGAATCGTGCCCTCAGGACAGCTGTGTGTCCCACCTGTTGATCTCTCCCATCCCGTGTCTAAAGCCCTCTGGCACTGTCCTATGAATGGCCAGGCTTGGGACACTCCTGCCACCTGGGCTCATGTCCACCTGCACTCCAGCTGAAATTCTCCAGACAGGTTCCATGTCCTGAGGCCTCACGCTTCTGGCGGGAGAGGCATGTGGCTCCAAGCACAGCCTAAGGGTCCCGGAGGTGACCTGTCCGGCTTTGGAGCTCTACTTCCAGCATCTTGCTGCTCCTTGAGGTTGAGGAAGCCGGGGAGAAGAATGGACTGGGACTGTTGGGTGGTGGGTCACCTGGGTCCCCTGGTCATGGCTCCGTTCTCTTCCTGGTCTTGTTGTCAGTCCCCGTGCCCAGCCTGCTGGACGACACGCTCCTTCTGGGGAACTGCTTTCGTGGTCTGGGCCTCATCCGGGTTCAGGCGGTCATTGTCATGCCAGTGGCTCCTGCGATGTGGCTGGGAGCAGTATTAAGGGGAGGGGACGCCCTTCCTCGTGGCCCTGGTGACGGTTGTTAGAAGCGAGTCGGCCACAGGACAGAGCCTCGCCCCAGTGCTTGCCCTCGCTTTCCAAGAGCGCCTGCATGTGGCCAGCCCCGCTCTGGGAGGCTGTGGCTGGCGTCTTCGCTGACTAACACCACTCTTGGCACAGACTTGTGTCCTGGGTTTGCAAAGGCCCTCTGAGGAGCTCTCTGTGGCTTTGACACGGCGCCCTGGTTGGCAAGCCCCCAGTCCTGCCTTCCGTTACTCAAGAAGTGGAGGAGAAGAAGCCAGCAGGACCTAGAAATAGCCCATGGGCTCCCCAGGTCCAGTGCCTGTTCTGTGGCCAAGGCTCCTGCACCTGCCGCAGAGGCTGCATGCACGCCGACTCTGGGCTCCCAGGCCATGCTGCCCACTGGGGCATGGCCTCACAGATCTGCCCCTGTGGTAGCATGGCCAGCCTTGTCCAGTTGACACAGCGCCAGCCTGTGTCCCTCATCCAGTGTCCCTCATCCAGTCCCAGCTCCTGGGCTCTGCCCGCGTACCTGGCCCTCCTCTGGGGCCCTGGACTCAGCCTGTGGGGCAGAAGGCCCTGGCTTACTCTGCTGCGGTCCCTTCCCTTAGGCCTGGCACACGACAGGCTGCTCAAGTCCGAAGCATGACTGCCCCCTTGCCCCATGGGTGGCCATGGCCCCACGGAGGCGGTCATGGGAGGCTGGCAGACTGGCCTCTGCGGAGGGGCTTGCTGGCCTCCAGGTGAGGCCTGCTGCCCTCCAGGGACTGCAGGACCCTGTCGGGACGGCCACCTGGCTGAGTCAGGAGGCCCCCTGGACCCTGCCTGGCGAATGACGTCGAGAGCCAGGTGCTGGGGACTCTGCCAGGCTGCATCTGTGGTGCTTGGTTGGCTGCCGGATGCTGTGGCGGGGTCGCACGGCCCAGGTCCGGCCAGGTGGACGGCGGGCTTGGGAGGGCCTGCCTCAGACCCCGCGGAGCAGGTGTGGGGTGGGCCGTGCAGCCACCTCTTCCTGCTGACAGGGAGCCTTCGCGGGGAGTGATGCTGAGGGCTGGCCTGGGCCCGTTGTCCTGCCGGCCGCCTCTCCCCTCCCACCTCGTCTCGTGCTGGCAGGGCTCAGTCCCGTGCGGGCCGGAGGCTGGTGTGCCTGCCTGGATGGAGCGTGCCGGGCCTGGTGGCACAGGCACTCCGGAGGCCACGGTCGGTCTGTGCGGGAGCAGCGCCGCTCTGGGCTCACGGGAGCCTCAGGCAGGCAGGCTGCTGTGGCTTGAGGCAGCGCGCCCTGAAGGCTGGGCCTCTCCTGGACAGCAGGCCTTGACGGGAGAGCAGCCACAGGAGGGGGAGCCTGGAGGCGCCACGGCCAGGGCCCGGGGAAACCCTAGGTGTGGTGATCTGCTGGGGATAACTTTTGGGACTCCGTGTGTGGTCATCCTTACAGTTCATGACAGCGAAGGGACACAGAGCAGGGTCAGCAGAGGGGGATGGTGCACAGGACAAGTTGGAGGCCAAGCCTGGCTTCCAGAACCTTCTCCCCTAGAGTCAAGCGGAGCACATTCATCCCCAGCCGCAAGCTGAGGCACACGTGCGGAGTGTCACCAGGGAAGTACAGAGCAGGGCCAGGTTCCTGTGGGGCTGGTCGTGTAACCCCTGCCTGGCCCTGCCAAGAGTCTGGACCCAGAGGAGAGCAGGGCCCTGGAGGCGTCCTGCTGGGGGTGGGAGGGCAGCCCGGGGGCCTACGCTGTGACCTCTGTTCTGCTCTCTGCTGGGAAGGCCTGTAGTGAGTCCCTTTCTGAGGCCTGACTGGCTGTCCACAGGGAGTGGGGAGTGGCTGTCCACTCGGGGCTCTTTGGGGGTGGATGGCAGGCAAGACCGGGAGATGTGGGCTGGGTGTCCTGCACCTGGAGAGGCGGAAGGTGGTTGGCCTACCCTTCTCCTGTCAGGTCTGTGGGGGGTCTTTCCTCGCAGGAGGAGGGGCGCTGCTCCTCCCTGGGTGGGTGGCCTGGGGACCTTCTCTGCTCAGGGTCTTCCTTCCGTCCTGAGAGGTACTTGGGGTGGGTCTGCAGGTGTTTCTGGTCACCTCTTGGCCCTTGGGTGGTGCCGTCATGGTCTCTGCTGTGACTCAGAAGCCATCACCCCCCAGCCCCTGGCACCCACGAGTTCACGTCCTGTCCCTGTGGACTGGCCTGTTCTGGATATTTCATAGAAATGGAATCATGCACTGTGTCCTTCTGTGGCTGTCTCACTGCGTGTGACATCCTCCAGATCCCTCCACCCTGTGGCCTGTGTCAGCCTCCTTCCTGTTCACAGAGAGTCGTGTCCATTGGTGGACAGGCCATGCTGTGTTGCTCCAACTTCCATCAGTGGGCCTTGGGTTGACTCTACCTTTTGCCTGCTGTGTGCCACGTTGCCTGTTGGGGACATTTGCATCCAGGGTTTTGTGGAATGTATCCTCTCTCTTGCGCACATACCTGGTCATGGAGGTAGTGTCTTTTCAAGAATTACAGACCAGCTGTCTCGTCTGTCACTTTGGACTGTTGGGTTAAGAGCTACTGTCTTACCGGGTGCAGTGACTCAGACCTGTAATCCCAGCACTTTGGGTTTTCTTTGTTTTTTTTTGAGTTGGAGTCTCACTCTGTCGCCCAGACCTGCTGGGCTCCGGCGATCCTTCCGCCTCAGGCTTCCGAGTAGCCAAACTATAGACGTGCGCTACCACACCCGGCTGATTTTTTGATTTATTGTAGAGATGAGGTCTCGCCAAGTTGCCCAGGCGGGCACGGGCTCAGGCAATC